ATATTTGAAAATAACTGATATACAAAATAAGATAATTTGCGTTTACGTAAAAAAAAAAAAAAATACCCATTAGAAGGCGTTCTTTCAGGACATAAATCTATAACGTCTTCATCACTGTAATATTTTTAAAAATGAAACGAATTATTGAAGTATGTGAAATTTAGCGAAATAATAAGAAAATGAAAAAATCTGTCAGATAAAAAAAAAAAAAATTAAACCTTTGCAAATCTTTATAAGCAGTGCGGAGCTGTGGATTTTCAATCAACCTATAAAACAATAAATCGATAGTTACGAAAGGATGCAATTAAGAAAAGAGAAGTATCAATGAAGAAAATTGTGATAAAGTAATTCTTACATTTCGGAGACCATTTTCTGGGCCATTCTGGAAGTGATGAAAAATTATTTCCAAACGTGAGGTTGTAAAATTACAAGTTATAATGTTTTTTGGGGCGATTCTGTGTTATATAAGACGAAATATATGTAAATGAGAAACAAGATTCAACATGTCATTAGTGAAAGAAGGCAAACAATGAGTATATTTATAATCAATCGGAAAATGAAAGAAAATAAACATGTATAGTTTTTTTTAAAAAGGGGGGCTTGGACAGAGCAAATTTTACGCAATGTTTTTAAATTTGGTTAAAACATAAACGGAATGAAAAGATGGAAAACGTTTTATTTAAACACATGTCATTGGGTATTACAGAAAAGTATTTGATAAATGACAAAGAATCAGAATACCGATCTAAAACATCATCTTTTACAATGAAAATGAAGTCAATCATTAATATTATATTGTAAAAAAAAAAGACAATACAAAAAAGTAAATATGTCATATAAGCTAATTTAATTATTAAAATAAATGAAGAAGGGCTGCAGGATTGTTAATTATAACCACAGATATTGATGGCATCCTTAAGTTCTCGGGAAGACGACGAATCAGCCGAATATCCCGATGAACAGCAGAAAGTAAGGAATATCCTCGTTTCGCACTGTTCTGTATATAAACTACTTCTGATGGACTACGAATTTCATTGTCAGGTCCATTAACAAACATGATGATGCAACGGTGGACAAGTCGTAAAGATTTTCGTCGTACGATCAAACGTCCCGCAGAGGTAGTGATAAAGGGAACGAGCCATGTATCTAACGATCCATTAACATATGTAATTTCTCTTAAAACTGCTTTTTTTAAAATTTTAACGTCTTTATTCCAGAGGCACACCATCAAGTAAATCTGGTATCGTATTTCATACGGAAGAGCGGCTGCTAGGAGAAATACTTCTTCTATAAAACTACAAGAAAATTAAAAAAAAAAAGTTTGTCAATAATTACCTATTTTATTGTAAAGAAATCATTTTTTTTTAAGAAAAAAGTTTTTAAAAAAAATACTTGCATTGCTGAATCCATTTCTGACAACAATCCAAAAAAATTAAGGAAAAATGTAGGTAAACAAAGTTTTACGAAATCAAATAAATGATATTAAAGAAAACAAAACAGTGGAGAAACAAGAAAGTTAAGGGAGTCTGAAAGTCTATACAGAATGTTTAGTGCACGACATTTTCCCTATTCAAATTCACTGATTCTGTCAAGAAGAAAGCGGGACAATCTGATAACGCGTAGAACAAAAAAAATAGAGTTATCTCCATTGATTTATACTGGAAATCACCGACAGATTGACATTATCAAATCAAAATATATATAATACAGTAGTTTTATTATGATGATAAAAAGTAGGCTTTTGTTTCACTCCGAGGGTGGCCTAGTAAATGTCAGTTCAACTCCAGGGTAATATTCAGTCCACAGTAGCAAAATGCTCAAATATATGCCATGCCACTAAAGGAATACAAACACTTTCTATAATAGTTTATTTTTTGTCACACAAGGAAACAAAAAACAAACTAATGCAAGACAAAAGGCATTTATTAATATCAAGATATATGGAAACAAAACGTTATGGGAATGTGCATGAACAAAGTTCAAAACGCGTTATGGGAATGTACATTAACAAAAGTTGAGTTTCATTAAAGCGTTAAAGCAATATAAACAAACAATACCATTATAGTTCAATATAAATTCAGAACAATGAGGTAAATAAGTTAGCATCAATATATATATAAACGATGCTTTTAAAACAAAGCCATCTTTTTTCCTATTGTCCGTAAATTTCATAGACAAGTTACTTAACAAAGATGTGTCATTAATTTTACTTTTAAAAAGCAATATGAGTAACAATGATGTGTCATTAATTTTACTTAAAAAAGCAATATGAAAGAACTAAGTATTTCCTAACTATTAATACATTGGTAAAGAACGTGACAATTCTTAAATATATAGTCGTACGATCCACAGGATTTAAAATCCAGACATTAAATAATTGAAAAATGATCACAAAAATGTACCTGAATTCTTAAATGTAATGTAAATTTACCCAAAGCAATTGTTCAAACTTGTAATAAATGAAAAGAATTATACTTTATGGCTGAGGATCGCATATCCTTAAAAAAAAGTGATACAGTGTAAATTTTCAACTAAACATGTAATTAACGAAGATATGGGATAATGTAAAAAGATGTATTCAGGAATGTATAAGAATATGAAAAAATCCTGAGTTTTGCTTCACAAAATACAAATGAAAAGAAAAAAAAAAAAGCTTTAAAAAAAAAGCGATACAGTGTAAATTTTCAACTAAACATGTAATTTGCGAAGATATGGGGAATAATGTAAAAAGATGTATTCAGGAATGTAGAAAAGAATATGAAAAAATCCTTAGTTTTGTTCTACAAAATACACATGAAACGAAAAAATAAAAGAAGACACACACCCCACAAAAAAAAAAAATTACAAATTCTTATACTTTGCCTGGGCCCTAGTGACCGCAGGACTTGCATCGGATGGGTCTCTGGGACTTCTTCGTTTGGCCGCCCCCAAGGCTAACTTGTCGAACTCGACAATTAATTCTTCCTCCTCCTCCTCCTCCTCGTCTATGTAGTGGGGAACCAACTCTACTATCGGAATGTCTGCCGGGATCAGGTGGTGGCTGCGGTGACGGCGACGGCGATACACCACAAAAATGATGACAAATGCAAGGCCGATAGGGAGGGTAACACCGAGGACGATAGATGCAACTACACAAACAAAGACAAGACGTAAACAAAGGATATAAAGCAATAATGGATAATAAAAGCGTGCACAATAGAAAGTTTTATCAAATTGAAACATTTAAACTATTGACTTGATATCGGTTCTTCGTATATATTTGAAGACATGGATGAATGAAATGAAAAAGTATCTGTTGAAGATTCATTTGGATCATTTTCATTTCGATAAATCGGATTTTGGTCATTTAATAAAGTAATTGATGTTTGTCTGTAAACATTTGCATGAGCTAAACATATGCTTTGAGTTAATTTATGCTTATTACTGATGCGTTTATAGCGTTTTAAAAAGAATAAAGGAAAGGCTACAACAGGTATGATTAAAAAGGATAAAAAGCTCAGATACAGAAAGCCATGCTGTGTAGGTCTAGTAAAAGTAGCTAAGGTGCTATTGATATATAAAGGAAAAGCTATTACTGTTGAGTTTGTGTCTGAAAAGAAAAACAAAATTATACAATTAGGAAATTAATCAATTTTAAAAAAAGTAAGAGAAAAGAAAATGCCAAGTGATTGATTATTAAAGAAAATGATTTTTTTCAGTATTACTTTGTTCAGTGCTGTTTTTTGTATACGCCAGAGAACTGGTGTTGACAAATACATGTGTTGTTTGTGTTCCATAACCTGAAGTATCACACAATCAGAAAAATTAAAATTGGGTGAGACAGAAACTATCAGTATTTCTTTGTTTAATCACAAGGGCATTTTATCCACTCTGTTCTCTACTTCACATAATAAAAATGCGCTCGGAAAACCTCGGGTACTACCCTATATGTCATCCGAGTTTCTTGGGCGAAGAGTTGCACACTGTGTATAGAAAGCTGGGATTTTCGTTGGATAACAGCTTTTATGTTCCTCTGTTATATTATTAGCCTGGATAATATTAAGACATCATTTGCGCTAGTTTATTTCTGTATTTGTGTAACTTTTCTCAAGTAAGTTGTGTGGTTTTTCTTTTTGACTTAGTTTAAAAGGGTCGTGTGCTACTTTCGATTTAGAACAGAGTAAATAAGATGCTCTATCATAGTCTATGGTTTGAGAATCGGTAAACAGAAAAACATGTACTTTTTCCGAGTTCCGTAGTCTACATATAATTTTCTTTTTATCAAATTGTATATATAAAAACGCAAAACACATAATGTATATTTATTTTTGACTAAAAATTTCATGATATTTACTTTGTCCTGTAGATGAATGAGAGGCAGATGGGGTGACCAATTCTGGTGTGTCGCCCTGCTCACTCGTTGTCGCTTTTTTTTTAAAAAAAAAAAAAAGGGGGGGATTAAATGACCAAACAGAAATTTTTAAGTATATTTCATTACGCCGAAAGACATGATCACTTACTTTGTCCGGTACCCAGAGGGCGGGGGGAGGCAGATGGGGTGACCAATTTTAAGGTACCGCCCTGCTCACTCGTAAGCACTTAAAAAAAAACAAGGAAAAAGGGGGGGATATCAAAGATCAAACAGAATTTTTTTTTAAAGTATATTTCATTAATAACCAAAGAGAGAGAGATAACTTACTTTTTTCAGTACTTAGGGGGCGGGGGGAGGCAGATGAGGTGTCTAATTTTGAAGTGCCGCCCTGCTCACTCGTAAGCACTTAAAAAAACAAGGAAAAAAAAGAGGGGGGTATAAAAGATCAAAGAGAATTTTTTTAAAAGTATATTTTATTAATAACCAAAGAGAGAGAGAGAGAGAGACATAACTTACTTTGTCCAGTACTCAGGGGGGAGGCTGATGGGGTGACCGTATATGGCGTGTCGCTCTGCTCACTCGTTGTCGCTTTAAAAAAAAGGGGGGGGAATTAAATGTCCAAACAGAATTTTTAAGTTTATTTCATTACGAAGGGGAAAAAAAGAAAGACATGATCACTTACTTTGTCCAGTACTCAGGGGGCGAGGGGAGGCCGATGGAGTGATCACTGATTCAGAGGTGCCGCCCTGCTCACTCGTAAACGCTTTAAAAAAAACAAAGAATAGATCAAACAGAATTTTTTTTTTAAAAGTATGTTTCATTAATAACCAAAGAGAGGGAAAAAGAGAGAGAGAGACATTACTTACTTTGTCCGGTACTCAGGGGGCGAGGGGAGGCCGATGGGGTGACCCACTCTGAAGTTCCACCCTGCTCACTCGTTGTCGCTTAAAAAAAAAATAAAAACCCAGATTGATTCTTGTGTAGAGAAAAAAAAAAATGTCAATTCATAACGTTTAAAGTTAAAAAAAAAAAGTAATTTATACCCGCTTGTGTTGTCTTAAACTGGGAGGAGGAGGAGGGGGTCTGGCCATTATCAACTAAAAAAAGGTTTGAGAGAGTAAAAATAAAGTATTCTGGGAAAATATGAAAAAAAAAGTATACTAGAAAAAATATTTTTTTAACAAGTATTCTATCAAACAAACAGACAAAACATTTTTGTTTCTCTGTCTGTACACCTTCTTTGTTTTATAAAGCAATGTTGCGTTTATTTTTCTTTTAAAAATTAAAAATCAATTTTTTTTATATATAAAAAATGAGAAATTCTTTACCTCGCCTGGGATGGAAAATACCGTTGTCAATTATTGTCATTTCCTCGCTGTCGTACAAAATGCGATGTGTACCCGCAAAGAACTCCACGTGAAGGACACGCCTTTGGATTGACTTATAGGAGAAAATAATGCAACTGCATTCTCCCTTGCACTGATGAAAATCAGGTGTGCAACAAACAGTTGCACTTCTGCAAGACTCCGCACTTATCCCTACCACTAATATACATAACAAGAACACTGTCACTTCTCTTGCTGCCATGTTGAAAAGTGAGAAAAAAATGTCTCACGGGGTACAGAAGTTGAATAGTCCAAAAAAAGTACTATAAAAGACGAGTCCAGTACAATAAAGGATGAAAGGGGGGATTATGATATCAAAGACACTGTTGCTGAATCAAACAAAGATGAAAAAAAGATCGGACGAGTACATCAAAGACACTGTTGCTGTATCAAATAAAAATGAAAAAAAAAGATCGGACGAGTCTAAAAAAAAAACGTGGGAATGATCCAGTAAAAGGTCACCTACATATGATGATAATGCGTAATATGTAGATAAGAGAGAGAGACAGAGAGAGAGAGAGACAGAGAGAGAGAGAGAGAGAGAGAGAGAGAGAGGAATATCCTTGATATCGCCATTCTAACACGTAATCCCATATCAAAAATGATCTACCCATTCCACATAAGATCTACCCATACGTAAAAGGGGAGGGGGGGGGGGAGGGGGGGGGGGCGGCGACCCATTGAAAACCGAAAAAAAAAAAGTTTAAATAGTTCATTTTATATACGTTTTTTATTTATTTGTAGGGTCGAGAAAAAAAAAAAGAAGATGGCATTTCAATGTCCTTACTGTTCCAGAAGTTTTGAGAATGATGCTGCGTATCGCTTTCATAAATATACCCATGAAAGAATCGAGGAATTAAATTTACTTATTCCAGCTAAATTGAAAAAAAGCAATGCAAAACAACCCGAAGATTCTCAGCTTATTCAAAAATGCAGATGCTGTGGGGCCGAATTTCGTGACAATGAAGAATTGTTTCGATTTCACGAAGAATTACATCAAACAGGAGGAGGATCCAGTGAGTCTCTCGGATATTCATTTACCAAATTAAATGAGAAAACTTTCAAGAAAAATAAAGCCATTGATCGACATTACGTCGTCAAATTGAATTCAGAGTTCGCACAATCTAAAATGAAAGTTAAAGATGTCCAAGATCAACTGTCAAACATGTTTAGTTCCACTTTAGAACAATCTACAGAAAATCTCAAAGACACCGATTTAATTCGTGTTATTGTTCATTCTAACACTCTTTCTACTCCAATATTCGTACCATTACAAAAAGTCGGAGGAATGACTTCAGAGGTGATAATGGATCACATTAATCATGTCTTAACTAGCCATGAGGACATGCCCCTAGATGAAAGTTTTTATGTAGACATTGGTACAATAGAAGTACCTTCTGGTGAGTAAATATATATATAAACACACTAAAAACCAAAATGAAATTCATAATTTTTATTATTGATGACGACATATAGGACATCGCTGATTTGGCATGGTGGCAAGTCCCCTATAACACTGTCTACAGCAAGAAAATTGATGACATTGCTGACATTTGAAATTACTTTTCACATTTTTTTCTAAACAAATGGGACATTGTTCTACAGTTTTGAGTCTAGCTAAATCTGCCCAGCTTGGAATTCTTAAATAATGTTCATTAAAACATCCCAGTTCTTTATAATTTCCTATGCGTCGAATTTTGTTCACATATTCAGTTCCAGGGACATGAAAACAAGTTTTTAATTCGTATGGGTCAAACCACAGAAAAACAAACAATCCACGCACATTTCGTCGTTGTTTCGGATATTTAAAACGAATATATCCTTCAACGTGGAATGTTTGATGATCTTTTTGTGAATAAGACCATACAATGTAGTTTAAGTTCTTATTGTTTCCATACATAAATCTCATATCCATATCATTATAACGTAAATTTTCTTCTGTCATTGGAGAAAGGTCATAAGAAAAATACCAATTTTTAGACCATTTCGACATTGCCTCTTTCGTCATTTTTTCAGAGTTTTAATTTTATTTTTTATTTTTTTTATAATACAGGAGGTCGAGGGCGTGCCATTCAACATCTTACAGGACCCTATTGTTCTGGTGCAAGAAAAAGATCGATTTTGAAAATTAACAATCAGGATAACACCTGTATGGCCCGTGCTATTGCTATGGCATTCGTGAAAGCGAATACAGTTTCAACCCAAGAATGGCACGCACTCATCAACGAAGATGATGATTGCAAAGAAAAATTAATTTGGAAACATAAGAAAGCCCCAAATTGGTACTATTCTAAGCTTCGTTTTCGTAATGATCATCTGGACCGTCAAACGAAGCTTACCCACGAACTCTGCAGGTTGACAGGTACACCAACAAACCGACCGTTAGCTCTATCAGATATCGATGCTTTTGAACAGTTTTTAAATGTAGACATATTGGTTATAAGGGCTGTCGGAGGAAACAAATTTATTAAGACTCCTCCCGAAGGAAGTCAAAGACAACGTCTTTATTTACATTTAATTGAAGACCCAGATAAAAAAACTGCTCATTTTGATGCTATTGTAAACATTTGTGGGTTTTTTGGCAAGTCCAAGTTTTGCTCTGATTGTTTAATTCCTTACAGAAATTTACATCAGTGTGAGTCTGCCTGTTATGTTTGCAAGAGAAAACAACGGTGTAGAGTATCCGATGTTCAGTTATCTTGTAAAACTTGTCACATGACGTGTCGATCTTTATCATGCTACGAAAGTCACTTACAACCCCAAGGTAAAAGAAAAGAGTCATCGTGTGCTCGGTGGTGGAAATGTGTGACGTGTATGAAAGTAATAGATCGAAAGGTGAGAGATCCAAATGAACACGTGTGTGCTGAGTGGTTGTGCAAAAGTTGTGGTAAATATGTAGACTCTACACATCTGTGCTACATTCGTGCAACGGAAAGCAAAAAATCAAAGCCCAATTTCATTTTTTTCGATTTTGAATGCACACAAAGCGCACGCACCTTACAGTGCTCTGACGGGTTTAATCACGATGCAGCTCGATGCAAAATCTGTAAAAATGAAACGGACTCGTGTTCGCTATGTTCAAATTGTCAACAGTCTCACTGTGGAAAATTTGAACACGTCCCTAATTTAGTTATCGCACAAAAGGTCTGTGAAATGTGTTTCGATGAAAACGTTTCTCCTACCTCGAAATGTCAGTTCTGCGGAACACGATGTCCTCTATGTAATCATTACGATAAAGAAAATAAATGTTTTAGTAAGAATCCTTGTGAAGAGACCTGCGGCTTTCGTGAAGTCGTTTTTCGCGGGGAAAATGTACAGAGAAAATTTGGTCAGTGGCTTTTTTCGGAGCAGAACAAACATTACACCGTCATTGCTCATAACATGAAAGGCTACGACGGATATTTTTTGTTAGAGTATCTCATTGCAAATTCTATTGTTCCCCAGGTCATCTATTCGGGTTCAAAAATCATGTATATCCAGGTCGCAAATGAATTAAACATTCGAGTCATCGATTCGTATAATTTTTTACCGACCAAATTATCACAGTTGCCCAAAGCTTTTGATTTACAGGAGCTTAAAAAAGGCTATTTTCCTCATTATTTTAATACCCCCCAGAATCAAACTTATGTTGGCAGTTACCCAGATGTTAATCAGTACGGATGTGACACTATGAGTGATAAAGATCGCAGTGCCTTCTTGACCTGGCATCAGTCTAAAATTGAAAGTGGGGAAATATTTGATTTTGCGAAGGAAATCGTTGATTATTGCCGTAGTGACGTAGATATTCTTCGTCAAGCCTGTTTGAAGTTTAGAGATATCTTAATGAACATAACGGGTAAAGTCGATTTTGACTTGAATGAAGACGGAAATATAGAATCTTACTTAAAGGGTAGTGTTGACCCCTTTAATCATATTACTATTGCTAGCGTTTGCATGTCAGTTTATAAAACTAAATTCTTGCAAGAAGAACTCAAAGTTAAAATTAGTCATCAAAGTAAAGAATTGGGGTGGTTTCCGGGTAAACGCATAGATGGAGATATCTTCGTAGACATTCCCGACAAAGGTTGGACCAAGGCTCAAGATATGCAGGAAAATGACTTTTTCATTGAGGATACGGAATTTGTCAGCAGCCCTTTAGCACAGGTGCCTTCTGCGGGCTACCACAGGGATCAATATAGTAAAATTTCTATTTCTTGGTTAGAATGGTTAATGGAGCATGAAAATTGGAAAGGGAATCACCCTCTTTATATAAGACACGCCCTTAATGAGGGAGAGTATAAACTTCCAAATTCAAAGTACAAATTAGATGGGTATTGCGTAGAAACAAACACTGCTTATGAGTTTAATGGTTGTCTCTGGCACGGGTGCCCGGCGTGTTATTCTAAATCTGAAAAACGAAGAATGATAGTGCCCCGTACAAATCAGACTTTAGACGAATTGTATGCTTTGACCATAAAAAAAGAAAAATATATTAAATCCCTGGGCATGCGACTCGTGTCTATATGGGAACACGAATTCGTAGAATTAATGAAATTCAATCCTATTATGTCCGACTTCGTAAATTCTCTTGACATTCAAGAACGACTCAATCCCAGAGACGCTTTTTTTGGAGGACGAACAAATGCAGTTAAATTATATAAAAGAGTTACTGATGGAGAAAAAATTCACTACTTAGATTTTTGCTCTCTCTATCCTTCAGTCAACAAATATTGCGTGTACCCTCTGGGACATCCTAAAATCATTATAAACAATTTTACAAGCATTCAAGACTATTTTGGCATCGCCAAAGTAAAAATCCTCCCCCCACGCAAGTTATATCATCCAGTTTTACCTCAGAAAATTAATGACAAGTTAATGTTTAGTCTGTGTCGGACTTGTGCGGAAAAAGAGAGACAACCGCTGTGTACTTGTAATGACGAAGACAGGTGTTTAACGGGGTCATGGTGTACGCCAGAACTTAACCGGGCTGTTGAAAAAGGTTATCAGATCATCAAAATTTACGAGATTTATCACTTTGATAACGTCTCGTCCCCCAATGATCCGAATAATGACCTCTTTGGAGGATATATCGATCTATTTCTGAAATTGAAACAAGAAGCTAGCGGTTGGCCTGAGTGGGTTCAATCCGAAGATGATGCGCTTCAATATATTCGGAGTTATGCAGAAAAGGAAAATATAGAATTGCACCATGATTCCATTTATAAAAACCCTGCTTTGCGATCTATCGCTAAACTATTATTAAACTCATTTTGGGGGAAATTTGGTCAACGTTTAAATATGCCCCAGACTACCTTTTTCCACGAGACTGAGGCTGATAAATTTTTCAGATGTCTCTTCGATCCCTCTAAAGAGGTCACTGACTTTCATATTATCAATGAAGACATGATAAATATGACCTGGAAAAGTAGTGGAGAATTAGTGAAAGAGGATTATCAGACAAATATTTTTATCGCGGCTTTCACTACCTGTTGGGCAAGACTGAAATTGTACGACATCTTAGACATGCTCGACACACGGGTATTATATTTTGATACTGATTCTGTAATTTTTGTAAGCAAAGTGGGTGACGTTGAGCCTCCAGTCGGACCTTATCTAGGTCAATTGACTAATGAATTGTGTACTGATGATCACATCACTGAATTCGTGTCGGGTGGACCAAAAAATTATGCCTTTAAAACGTTTAAAGGTCAACAGGTTTGTCGCATTCGTGGGTTTTCTTTAAATTATAAAAATGCGCAATCTTTGAACTTTACATCTATGCTAGATATTGTAACAGGTGATCAGAGCAAAACATTGACTGTCACTAACCCTCAAAAAATTACTAGAGCAAAACGTTCTGTTAAAGTTTATAATAGTGTAGAAAACAAACAGTATCAGCTTGTGTATTCTAAACGAGCAATGCAAAAGGACTCTTATGACACCTTACCCTTTGGCTATTAACCTTTGTATACTGATTTATAATCAAAGATGCACTTTTTTTCTTTTATTGTTTTTCTAAAGGAAATGTACAATATATATATATATAAATATTAGTCATTTGAAACACATGTTTTTTTTGTGACACATTAAAGTTTTATCCATTGTACACCAGTCTTTTTTGTTTTTATTCTCTTCAGTTGCTGTAATTTGTCACGATAATTAAATCCGGGAGGAGGTCCATCCGTGACCTGTTTCACAATAAACCCTTGTCCACGTTGTCTTTTAATGACCCGTGCTTGATTCGTCTTCTTTTTCTGTGTTTTTGCCGCAATTGGTAATCTCTTAATGTCCTGACCTTGTTTTGTCTTCTTTACCGTTTTCTGAGCGTTTGCCGCGATGGGTGAAACGTCATTATGGCTTTTCACTGTTGGTGTTTTCTCTTTTAACATCATGTTATACTTTTCTTTTGGTATTAGAATTAATTCCCGAGCCATCATTCAACACACTCAGTACCGGTTTTATTAAGATAGGAATTGCTAAATGTTTTTGTAACAGGATTTTCCGTTTGACACTCTTCTTCACCTTCTTACTGCTGAGAGAATGAATGGCGTTCTGATACGGAAGCAGTCTTTTAATATAATACTTTGAGAGTGGAAAAGTTCCCTTGTAGACGTTTAGGATTATTTCACACAATGCCTGCTGTTGATTTTCTGTCATAGTCTTTAATAATGCTTTTCTTTGCTTAGGATCGGCATAGTATAACACCTTGATGAAAGGAGCATTTGATGTTACCAGTTGACTCATGGTTCTCCAAATACGATATAAAAATTCAGACTTTATTACTTATTTGGGAGAAAATATTATAGTGTCTTCGTCCGGAAATATGTGCGTGCGCAGTCTGTATCTGTCTTCGGTAGCTGGATTCATATCTACGAGTAAATAGCCATATGGTTTGGATGTTGCTTTTTGATATGCATCTTTAAAATAGGCAGATTGACCAGGATACACTTGAGATCCGAATGCCAATATCTGTCTCGAATCTCTTAAAGAACGAAATAATATTATGTAATGACAATTCAATGATAAACTGCGAAAATGTTTGGACTGCACGAATAAATTTTGTGTTAAAAAAAACACGGTGCAATTCTTATGATGTGCAGTAATGCTGAAAATCGCCACTGAATCCTCACTTTTTGACACTTGTGTCATTAAGTCGTCCAAAATTAACACCGTATGTGTGGAGCCCTCCGTCCATTCTTCTATTTGATCTTTAGAAGGTAATCCTTGAAATAAGATAAGATTAGATATCTTTTGTTCCATTTCTTCAAAGAGGGGCTGATACTGACTATAACAATATATCATTTTTTGAGGATGTATTTCAAACATCCCCCCTGCATTTAATAAAATACGGTAAATAAAATGTGTTTTTCCAGACATTGTTGCACCCGATACAAGACAGGTTGTAGGTGACCGAAACGGTAGAAGAGATTTTTCTTTCCACCAGTGCATTGTAGTTGTTCCCTCTCCCAATGTCTGATATCGACTGTTCACTGACGTGACATGTCGAGTCTCTTTATGTCGAACAAAAAAAAAAGACTTCTTATTTTATTTCAATAATATTTATTGACAAATTCTTTCACATACTTATCTGGATTATTATTTCTTTGTAATATATGTACAATTTGAGGCAACGAATAATTATAACATTTCATCCATAAATAGAATAATACATGATAACCACACGTGTCACTGTTCTTGTTTTGAATGGGAACATTATTGTACATACACACATCAGAATTGTTTCGGATAAAAACATCAAACGATTCCCCATAGTACCGTGGAGACTTTCCAAAGCTGTCGTAAAATTCGGCGTATTTCTCGCTGTGAATCCAAAGCACCACCCAGTGCGTTCCCGGCAGATGTGAAGGGTCGGTATTACATATATAAGCAGAAGGGTAAATGGGTACTGACTCAGGTAAAGTGTTGGAAGCAAATACTCCTCTTGTCACGTTTGATACGTGTCTGTTTCGTGTAGTAAATGCTCTTAATTCTTGGGAATTCATACTCGGGTATACTTGATGTCTCTGGAATGATCTATCTCGATTAAAGCCGGGAATTCTGCATAAGCCAAACAGTTTAGCGTCTCTGTTGTATTAGCCGCAAATTTTACTTCTAATCTGACGCTTCCCTGGCGAACCAGATTTAAATAGGCTTCTCCAAGGTCACTTGGGGCTAGACTAAAAGCATACACAGCATACCCTGCGGCAAACATTGATCTTGTAATTTTGAGGCCAGCATCTTTGTTCCATTTTTCGGCCACTTCAAAAAGATTTACAAATGGTGTGACGTTATTCTTATTGGTTCCGATGTCAACCTTCATGGGTCTTGCAGGAATGCTTTCACCATTCACGTACACTGCAATATCTTCTGCTAAATTTTGGAAATTAAAAATGTTTTTTGAGTAGTCACCATTCACGGCAGCTTGCGATATGAAAGCAAAATAGGCCTTCGTAGGTAGATTATTGGACCATACATTCTGCCAGATAAAACTCCCTGATCCCTTGGGACACGTGTTCATTTTCACCTCTGTTCTCACTAAGGGGTATTTTGCAGTGACATCTTTCAATATTTCTGCATGATTAATTAACACCCCACTGTCCACTTTTATCATACATGCCTTAAATGACACATCTATCAGTTCCACTTTGTATGCTGGAGAAGATTCCGCACTCATTACGAGGAAGGGAGCTCGGTTTCGAAATAATTTTAGGTTTATGTCAACCCCATTTAAAATGTATTTATCTAAACGAAAAATGTCCTCGTATAAAGGTCCTTCTAAATCAAACACTCTGCTTTGTTGTGTAAATGTATACCGCTGTGCTAAACCGCCGTTTGTTCCACCGTATGCATTCCCATCGTCCATCGTTGCATCGTCTAAGAAAAATAGCTGAGATTGTAATTGTGAGTCTGAGACATCGGTGCCACTGGATAAGATGAGTTTTAGATAAGCTTTCCATGGGTAATAACTAGTGTTTAAAGACACTAACTTTCCGTTCATATATGTGTCTATCTGGGACCATAGAGATTGCAAAGGGAGATTAACTATTCCCGTTTTCTCCTGGACTGCTAGTGGGGTTCCGTCTGAT